CTGAACTGAAGGAGTGTTCTTGACCTAGGGAAGCAGAGTGTATTGGGGGAAGGTTTATTTCTAACCCTGATTGATGGAGGATACTTAGAAATGTCAGTTATCCCTTGCAGTTGTTCTGCCTGTTGGCACAGGGCCGAAACACATTATAGCAAGCCTTCTCTCGGTATTTTTAGTCCATGCAGTGGATGATTTGGCATCACAGGGTACTGTGGGTGTACCAAGCTGGTTTTACATCAGTGTTATAGTGAGAATTGTTCTTACTTTATAGGTTGATGTAATCATTAAACTTTGGAAAAATGGGTTTACAGTAAATGATGGTGAACTTAGGAGCTACACTGATGTTGCAAACCAGCAGTTCTTGGACTCGATTAAAAAAGGGTAAGCGAGTTTTGTGTTCTTAATCAGCCTGAGTTAATGCGCTTTGGATAGTGCTTAGCTTGTGTTCTAAATTTCTTACATAGCTGCTTGGCTTTGCTGCACAGCAGTATTCCTGTAGGAGCGTAGGCCACTGCCTGTCTCAGTTCCTGCAGTGCTAATGGCTGTTTTAACATCAACAGGTTTAATATAGCTTTCAATTGCAGTAGTTGTACAGTTGCTGATGAAGTAGATAAAAGCAAGTGTTGGTAGGGGGCACAGCAGGTGTGGAATGAAATAAAGAATAAATCGGAGTGCCCAGTAAGAGCTACTGATCAAGTGGTACTTTGACTAATGAGCTCAATGCCGAAGTGGTTGAGCATTTCTGTTTTTGTGGTCTTTGTTTTCTCTTTATTGATGAAAAGCCTTAAATGGGCACAGTTGCCCCATGTAACTTCAAGAAACTCTGATCAGTCTTACATTTTAGACATTTTTCCTAGTACAAACTTGCTATTTCAGTCACTTGTGTGTATATAGCAATCTTACTTTTATCCCCCTGTTAAAAATTAGCATGCTATCCTGATTCCTGCTAGTGTTTGCAGTGTTGCTTTAAAAAAGCAGGTTGACCATACAAACCAATGTAATTTTGAGCCTTTAGTTTGTAGTCTGTTTCCTCACTCCATGCAAATGGAGAGGAGAATATCATTTTATGGAGAATATAATTTAATAGCTCCTTTTCAAGTATGTGAAATTACTAAGCCATTGTATTTTTTGTCTTTTCCGTACTTGGCTAGCACATCAAAAATACTAATTTTACACTGTGTTTCTCCTGTATGGCTGTCACCTGTATTAGTTGTAATAGCAATTAACTGCACTGTTTAAAGCCCTTTGCTTTCTTTGTGTGCATGCATCAAAAGTTTGCCACCTTTCTTCCACTGTTTGCTTGTGAAGATGCTAATTACAAGATGGTTCCTGCATAATTGTTGATGGTAGAGAAGCACTTAGTGCAGCCCCTGTGCCAGCTGAGCCCCACCTGAAAACATAGTGTCTGCATCAGAGCTCATAGACAAAGGCATTGTTGTGTTCTGCTTAATGCAAATAAAGCATTACTGAGGTGGCGTTAGTGTACTAAAGAGTGTAGCTATTAGTGATGATCTAATTTTTAAAAGCTGAGATTCGTGTTTATTTGTAATTAAACAAATTGCATCTAAACTCAGTTCTTTCTCTTTAAAAGCCAATTGTCTTTTTTTCTATGGGTATAAAATAATTGAATTTTGCAGCAATGTATGGCAATACTGAACTTCGTGCCCATCACGTGCTTTGGAGTGGAAACTGCTGAGTAAATTTGAACATCATTCAACAGCTTGCATGATGATGTCTTTATTGTTCTCTTTCTAGTTAATTTGCAGTTCAGGAACTTGAAGTTGTTTTCATGTCGTGCACTTAACATAACTCTTAGTAAATACTTCTGCAGATTTTTTTTTTTTTAAAAGCATCATCCTTGAAAGGAGAAACATAAAACAGGTATTAATGATTAATCTATTTTGTTTACTGAAAACAGTATAGTAGTTCTTTGTCTGATGGCTTTTTTTTTTTTCTTAAGGGAACTGCCTTTTGAGCTACGAAAAGTTTTTGATAAGGAGGAGGTAGATGTGAAAGTGGAAGACAAAAAAGATAAGGTGTATTTGTCATCAAAAAAGCCAATGTTTCATCCCTTTTCTGGACATGGTTACAGATTAGGAAGGTGAGTAGTCTGACGCGATCTATGATTGAGTAGCTGAAGGGAGCTATACATATGGGAAAGGATCTCATCATTCAGATTGGAAATGACCTCTGGAGTTATCTAATCCAAGGTCCTGTTCAAAACAGGGTCAGCTGTCAGTGGGGACAGATAAGGTTGCTCAGGCTTTTATCCAGTTGGACCTTGAAATCCTGCAAGAATGGAAGCTACGCAGCCTGCTTCAGTGCTGGACTGTCCTAATGGGAAAGAAATTTTTCCATGTATCGAGTCTGAACAAAGAATCATAGAATGCTTTGGGTTGGAAGGGACCTTGAGAGATCATCGAGCCCAACCCCCCCCTGCAGTAAGCAGGGATTGAACCTGTGAACTTGGTGTTATTAGCACCATGTTGTAACCAACTGAGCTAACCCGGCGTGTCACATCTCTTGTTTCAATTTATGTCCACTGTGAAGAGCCTGGCTCCCTCCTCCTGATGACCTCCTGTAGACCCTGGCAGGCTGCTGTTAGCTGTCCTGCCCCGACACCATCTCTTCCACAGGCTGGACAAGCCCCTCTCCTCCAGGGTGAATGCTTCGGCCTGCAGCCATCTTGGTGGCCCTCCATGGAGCTTGCTCCAGTTTATCGACATCTTTCTTTTATTTTGGGTACCAAATCTGAATGCAGTATTTAGATGTGTCTAATGAGCGCTGCATGGGGGATAATCGGCTCCCACAATCTACTGGCTGTGTTCCTGTTAGTACAGCCAGGATGCTGTTCACTTTCTTCATTCAAGGTCTCAATATTAGCAGAACTGTGTCCAGCTGAAAGGCTGTCACGCTGCTATTCTGTGATTTAAGAGAAAAGAATCTCTTTTAAAGCTGTATGTGCAATACTTTGTGTGAGAAGAGGGGAGTATGACAATCCCATAAAGAGAACTGAAGAAGTAAGAGGTTATTTTGCATTCTTTTAAAATTCCTCAGTATTTAACCATGCCTTTATTGCAGCAAGACATATTAGCGTGTTAGTGATCCTCTTTCCTCTACTCCATGACTCCCTTGTGGTTGGAGAGTGTCAGCCACTAATGCCAATGCTAAAACTGGATTTGATTTATAACCAAGTGGTACTGTATTTTGGAAGGCTGTTGGAGAGGGGCAGGCTGGGAGTTCATGTATTTGATCCCTGTGACTTTTGCTTACTCCAGCCAAGTTATCTGCTTCACATATCCCTGTTGTGTAAGACTTACGTGCCTGTAAAAGCACACCTCAGCCTAGGGATCAGAACACATTCAGTGACCAGGAGCCTACAGGAAGCCTTCACAGGTGGGACTGCTTAGTGACCTGCCCACTGGGGTTAGTAGACTGTGGCAAAACCTTAGGTGAACAGCTTGTTTCAATTAAGTGGAAAGGGCTTTTGCTGCTAAGGCCCAGCGCTTGTGCCGAGGGAAAGTGTGTTCTGAGTGGGAATGGATCAAGCAGGGGAAGAAGATAATAGTGTGCAGAGTAAGAGACTGATAGTGGTAAAGGATGAGTGGTTCCAGGCTGCCTTGGAGAAGCAAGTATCTGTTTTATCAGTTTCATCTGTTTCTGTAGCACAGTCCATTCAATTGCTACATGCTTGAGTAGATACGGTCAATAGGGAAAAATCTTCCCTTGAGAGATGGATGAGGTGCTGCAAGACTTGCTTTTGGTAGCACTGAAATCCTGAGCAAACAAGGGTCAAGAACTTAACCTTATTTTATCTACAAGTAGACCTGTATATAGCAAAAGCAAAAAGATCTTCAGTGTGCTGGGTTTCTGCTGCTAACCAGTGCTGAATGGTAGGTTGTTCAGTTGCTTGTTGTGCTCTGTCATGCCTACAGCAAGTAATGATCTTGCTTCCCAGTAGGTGAGTTAGGTTCTGGAAACATGCTATTCTGTGAATTTTGGTTGACTGATCTTGTACACTGAGACATCCTACAACTTGCTCAAGATTTTTTTTTTTTTTCTTTATGGACTGGATAAAATGCTTTTTCTCCTACTCTTGCTAGTCTATTCAGTGCTATGCTATCAGAGCCTTTTCTTTAAAGACGACTAAATATTTTTGCTGATGTTGGAAACGTGAGCTCTAAGTGCTCTGACTCCATAAACTAGTGCTCACTTTCTGATGTTAATAAATGTCCATTGCATGTGTATGCTACTCTTCTGGCAGAAAAGCTTTGTGGGGAAATAGTAGTGCTGTCTGAGACCTGTAACAAGTCTTAAGCTATAGGACTCCCTTTCCACAGTTGCATTTGTGTGCTTAATCAGAAATGAGAGAGGCAAATGACTCAACAGTTTACTTCAGCTTATGACCTAGCTAAACTTCTGCTTATCAAATAAACTTTTTTTTAATAGGCTACAGATTTTCTGCCAGTGTTCCCAGATGGATGGATTATGTAGTGGATGAACCATTTTGAATGAATGAATTATGAATTGGTCTGTTGACTGGCTCATTAAAACTTCTGTTGGAGGAAAAATGGAGGAGCTAGAAATGATATGTTTGATATAACTCAGATGAGCTTGATCCTTTTTGTTGTACAGGAGAAACAAATGAGATTTACCAGACTTTTCCAATATACCTTATCAATCCATATAAGTAATGGGTGTATTCTGTTTTATCTAGCACCGTTCAGCTGCATTTAATAGTTTGGGACTATAACAAGATTTGCAGCCGCACTTTTCTATTAAGCTTATCAATGCATTTTAAAGACTGTCTCAGAAGCATGTTAAACTCTTGACTGAAATCCCTTGTAGCAAAGTGGGCTTGCTCTATAACCTCATTAGGGTAAAACATTGCGTGTCAAGCTTCTTGACCGTTAGTCAGGGTAAGACATGATACCTAACTCTTGGGCTTTTTCTTTTCAGAAAATTGACAGGAGGCTCTTATGTCTCTTCGATCTTCAGTTTGCATCTTCTTTTGATAATCTTGTAAAAGGAATAAGCCTTTAAAAGGGGTGATAATGCTTTGATCTCAGGCTAATAAGAGACTTAGATTCTTGGTTTGTGGCTTTAGTCAAAGCTCCCACCACTAGATGGCTTTATCTGTCAGTTCTACAAAAGCAAAGTTATTAAGTACAGAAATGCTTTAAGCCTTGGTGAATATAGGTCTGACTTTCTCTTTCAGCTTAGCTTAATGTGTTGGCTTCAGTTTCACACATACTTGCTATTGAAAGAATCATCTCCAGTGCCTACCACAAATTCTGAGAAGTGACCATGAGGGAAGTTGGTTTGCGAATGACACCAAAATCTGTATCCATTTGAGGCAGTTGTCCAAACTACACTGTGACTGATGGGCTAAAGTGTAGTTCAGCCCAGGCTAAACCAGGCGCCTGGCAGCTGCATGGTTGACTGCCTCTCCAGCCTCCGCTGTACTGGAGACAGCTAGCTCACACATGAGCACTTACACTTCAGTGTCTGAACCTGGAACTGAATGCTACCGATCACGAAAGACAGCAATAGCTGATCATTGCTGGACTGAAGTATGACTTGAATTTTTTTTTTTTTTTGCTCTGCTCCCAAGACTGTTCAACATTATCTTGCTGGTGCTCAAGCTGTTTTTTCCAGATCTGGAGGGCAATTAGGGTTTATTTTGTATTGAAGTCAAGCATGAACAGAAGCTGGGCGTGAGATAAGTAAATCAGTAGAGGCAGGTGGGTGATAGTAAGTCACCTGTACTTGGAGTACCAGAATGTTTTACCGGTGTGCCTCTTGGAATCTGTCAGTGCCAAGTTCTTGTGCCCCAGGTGATTTCTGTGTAATGCAAAACAGTCAATTCTGTGCCTCTCATCTGCTTCCAGTTGCAGTGAAACATCTCTTATCACTCACTTGGGAATGAGATTCCTTGATTCTTATTCTTTTTGCAGAGTTTCAATGGAAGAAGTAAAAAGTGCCTCTGCTGGCTGATAGCCTAGAAGTTAGGGCGCTTAACTAGGCAGTGGGTGGTAAGAGTTTTTGAAATACCTCAGACTGAGAAGGACTTGAGCCCAAGACTCTAACTTAGCTAGCCTGAATATATTAAGTCATTAGCCATCTTTGCTTAATAATAAATTGGCTGTGACTTTTCCGCTTTATGATTAAACTAAGACAGGTACAAGAACATAAGGATACAAGGATGGGGTTTGTCCACGAAGCAGATGTAGTATTGTTAAGACAATTCTATGGCCATTGGTTACTGACTTCTCGCTCAAGAAGCAGTAACTCATCAATTTTCTGTGCAAAGAGAAAGCTTTTCTGCAAACCACTGTGAAGTGTTCATGTAGTCAGTGACCACAGCTGAGCTCAGAGAAGAAATGGTAACTCCTTAAATCACTGCTATTGTTTTGCAAGTAAACATCTGGTTATACTCATATGAGCTGAGGATGTGCCCATTGGATCAGACCTTATGATAACTTAAACAGTACATGCTGAACAAGCTTAGTCCTGAAAATAAGCACTAAGCTCTAGACATTTCTTCAGAATAAAAATTTTTGCCAGTAATTTTTTTTTTCTAAGACCACCCACTTGGACTGAGGTCCCTGTATTCTGTCAAGTCATTTTATGGATCTTTGCCCTTATGGTAGGGTCGGCTGTCAAAAGTGCCTTAGGAAAAAAAAAAAAATCCAAGTGCTGTGTGCATCAGCCTGGATTTTCACATTAAGTCAATTTCTCTGATAGATGAGTAATGCTTCTAAGCTGAAATAGATGATGCTGGGGTCTAAATCAAGGCTAACAACATTCAGTTAAATTGAATTATTGTAATCACATTATGGTGAAAATTAACATTGACTATGCAAATTCAATACTCAAACCCCTTAAAGTTTCACCTGTGTGATTAGAGTACAAAAAAAATGCACTAAGAATCTTCAGACTGTTTCATCTCTTATGGATTCATATTTAATCCTTTGATATTTAAGTTACCTTCCATCTTGTAAAAATGTTTAACATGAGCAAACTGAAATTCTTTAGCATGTTGAAGTCTTCAAGAGAAAGTATTGGCATACAGTTTAAAAAAAAAAAAAAGCTAACATTTATGTCAGTATTCCTATATGTGTTAAAAAGAGCAGTTGCCAATGCACCCTGATACAGGGCAGAAAGCTCCAGAAGCAGAGGTCTGGAGGGAGGTTGAAGCTTACATGTGCACACAGAAGGTGTAACCTCGTATGGCTTTTCTTTTCAGTGCTACTCCAAGGGTAATCTCTAAAGTAAGAGATGATCATCAAGGACCCGACAACAAAAGACACCTGCCTTTAGTACCCTTAAATGATTTGGAGCCTATCACTAACATCCAGATCTGGTTAGCTGATGGGGAAAGGATAATTCAGAAATTCAATGTTTCTCACAGGTAAGAGTTATTTTAGCACTGCCATATGTATTTGTGTCTGAACTATTTTTCCTATGCCTGTACGCATGATAAGTCTCTAATTTCTGTGAATAATCTACCTCCTCAGTTCACTTAACATTGGACTGCTATTCAGCTGTATCTAGAAAACCTCCTTTCAAATATTGAGAAATCTTTTAGCTGACAAGAAAGGAGTGTAAGAGGAGTGTGAACTGATGTTAATAGTCAGCACATAACTGAGCCTGAGTGAAAATCTGAGGAAATAGTAGTTCTTCGTAGGTTAGTGGAAGTTAAGGTGTATGTATTGCCCATTACTAGAGGAAACGGCTTTTAAGATGACAGATCTCTCACAAAATGACTACACCTGGAGCAAATTGCTTAGTAAAAAGCCTGCTAGTCATTGGGCATAGACAGTAGTGCAGCTGGGAGCTGGCGGATGGGACTTGGAGTTGAGCCTGAGAAACCTCTGGGGAGGACCAGAGTCAGTGCACTGGGCAGGGGGGGTTCGTCACCTGCATGTCAACGTGGACAGAGTAGAATGCATCCAATGTGTTTAATTTTTAATTAGTAAAATTTCCAGTTCCCAAAGAGGCTTATAAATGGGAATAACGTCAGAAAGTATCAGCGCAGCATATGTATGCAGGAGCTTTGAGAAAGTAGGATTAACTGCTTAACATTAAATTGTGGAACCGCTGTCTTTAGAGACCTTTCTCCAATTTGTAATTTGAGAAATTACTCCAGTACTATACAGTCATATAGAAAGGATATGTTGCCTCTGCTTCTCTGTGAAGCAATTTAAAGTGATCATAGATTTAATACAACGCAGGCTGCTGTCAGGATAAACTGTGTATGTCTTCATGGCTGGTCAGAAGAGCTCAGCCCTTGAAGGTTAATGACAGTAACTTTTTCTTTAACTTGTACTAATTTATTACTGTTAGTGGCCTGAGGTATGAACTGGAACACTGTTGCTATGTACTGCTGAAGGGTCAGTTGCTATTTTAATTATAAATACTTCATGTATGGGCTTAATATCTTAATTATTCCAGGTTTCACACAGTTAAGTTTATTTAGAAGCTTTTTATCTTCACGGCAAATAGCAGTTTGAACAGCTGCTAAGTGCTTTTGGAGTGGGGGGAAAAAAAAAAAGTCTGAGATAAGCAGAACAGCCTTACTGATGTGATGCTCTTTTTGAAGTAGTTTGCAATAAATATTCTGTCATAACATATCCTCTTGCCACAAGACCAGCATGTTTGTGCTGTATACAGTATTTGTGTATGACCTAGTAAGAAACGGGGGGAAATCCTTTTAGAGTACATACCCTCAAGCATTATGATTGCATGTATAGCACTCCTTTCAGTGGAGAAGCAGGGAACAGTCAACTATTTGTTAATTAAACTATAGGTAAATAACCTGTAGTGTATATATTGCAGTGCCTGGGTAAATTGATTACTTTTACCCTTTTGCAGGTAGAACGTGTATGTGCCACAGTAACTACTACTTTAGATGTTACTTGATTACTGATGAAAGACTGAAGTTACAGCATTGGAGCAAAAGTGCAGGTAGCATCATGATACTGCAGTATGGAGAATCAAGGACATAGAGTGAAGCAACTAGCAGAGCAGTGCTGTAGGAATAGCACACACAGCTATGTCTTGAATTGAGTGTCCCTTCTTGAGTAGTTGCTAAGTTCGTGTGACCCTGGAGCATTGGGTATGGAGCTGGAAAGGAACTTGTTCATCCTAAAGCAGATAGCTGGTGGCTAGTAGCCTGAGTTGCTCTTGGGACCCAGTGAACTTTGATATAATGCTTGTAGACACCTGTAAATGTCCAACCAAAAATCTATTCCTGCTTGAGGTTTTTCAGGCTCTAGGCTTACCAAGCACTGTCTCTTAAATGAGGCATGCATGCACAGGAATTAGATGCTGGCCATATCTGTCCTAGTAAATATGGCTAAGGCATGAAAATTTGGTCCTCTGCTGCTAAACTGTTAGGATGGCTTTCCCTCAAGCCAACTAGCACTTTCGCAAACAGTATCTAGGCTTGGTTCAGATGTTAGCTCAGGTCACGGACCATTCCTGGGAGGCAGTAAACCCCGTGGGCTACCCTGGGCATGGGGAGAGGAAGGATGAGTTTAACAGTTTGCCAGTAGCCAGAGCCTACCAGTTGGCCTCAGGATCAGAGAATGGGCATTGACGCTATGTTTATTTTGCTGGTATAGATGTACCCTGCCATCTTCATTTTCTGATTAAATTGGTCAATCCTGATTTCTTCCACAGCAAAAACTCTGTCTTGCTCACTTGTTGCAAGGTTCTTCACACTTTAACAGGCAGCTTGAGTCTGTAATTACTTCACTGCTGCACCTGCTTTGGTAGAAGGAGACTGTATTTAGACCTAGTTAACTCGTAAGCTATCCAGACAATTTTTGCAAACCCTTTGTCTTTATTATTATTATGGTTCTGCTACATGTACCACATTGGAGGCGTCCTTATTCTAGCTTTTGGCTACTGAAACCTCAGGTAAGAGCTCCACCAGCTGGTTAGGAAATGGTTGGCTTGTGTAACTACCATCTGAGCCACAGTAAAGCATTTGAGCGCTCAGAGTAAGGTAACTCATCCTTTTTCCCTTGGGACTGCTCTCAGAGCTTGCAAACCTTGGTCCTTGCCTCCCAAGTGGACCGGGCACTTCAGGATACCACCCCACCTATACTCCTCCATTTCTATGCCATCAGCTATTACATGAAGTGGGTGTCTCATTCTCTTCTTGTGCTGGTGATGTGTGTTGTGCCTGTAGTCTGTGTTGGGATTGGAGTGCTCTAATGCTGAGTTTTCTTTTTTTTTTCTTCTCAGAGTAAGCCATGTCAGAGACTTCATAACAAAGTATCAAGGATCAGAGGCAAGTGTTCCCTTCACACTGACCACTTCGCTGCCGTTTCGAGAGCTGCGAGACGAGACACTCACACTAGAGGAAGCCAAGTTGCAAAATGCCGTTGTTGTTCAGAGACTTCGGAAAACAACTGAACCTTTCAGACTCTTAATGATAAAAGCACCTGACAATGACTATAAAACTGCTGCTACACCTAATGGACAGCTCAAGAATGAGCAAAAAAACGCTATCAAAAGTACAAGATCAAATTAGCTTTTAACTGGCCAAAAACTACATACAGGTGGAACTAGGCAAAACCAAAAATGTAACCAGCAATATCTGGATGCACTCTCATCCTCACGTACTGTGCTCTTAGAGAGCAAAATGTGTGCTGTGCTATCATGTGCTATAACAGAAGTATTTTCAGCTAAATTTGGTGGTCAGAGCCTGGCTATATAACATAGCAGAGGTAACTGTACAACAGGTCACCCTTAGAATTTCCTTAGGTAGAAAGCTTCTTAGTTCTTCAATGAGTGTATTTAGGCGGAGTCTTAATTACTACTGATAGCACCTTTTAAGGAAAAACAGTACTTATTTTTGCACTTTTGAGTAAAGTGAAACTGAACTGACTGGTTTCACTTACATTTTGGTATAAGCTGCTGCAGGTTGCATCCTTCTCACAGTAACTCTTAGGGCACAGATGCTGCAGGGAAGCTCACATTTGAACTCTTAACTAACTTGAAAATCTTCAATATCAGTATCTTCAGGATTTAACATTTATCACAAGATCTGCAGTGTAATGTTCTATCAAGTCTTCATGTGGTGGTAGGTGCATGTGTGAGAAGACAGAAATGAGGTAGTCTGGTGCATACGGCATATGAAGTGCCTCAAAGTAAGCTCTGAAGGAATTGTTACTCCCAGTGGTTGAAGTGGTTTCTGTCTCTTTTGTGCTGCTACGGGTGTCTTACAGATAGGGTGATGTTAAACTACCTAGCTTATTAGGACAGAGATCCACTTCTAGCCTTGTCACACAAAACCTTCAGCTTTTCTGGATTACGTTACAGCAGTAGTGGCTTAGAGGGACACGCTTTGGTACTACATATCTGCCTCTGTCCTGAGCTGGCCAGCTGATTGAGACACTAACTGCATGTGGCCAAATTTCAAAGACGTTGAAAATCCTTATTTGAAAACTGAGGTTTCTTCTCCTGGTTCTGCCCCATTTCCATCCACATCTTTTATTTCGCTATTCATGTACTTGAGGCATAAAATTTGTAACCAACTATTCCATGTTTTGCTAAAGGAGAAATCGACATAAAGACTAAATATTTTGTACTGTGTTTACTAAGTAGCATGTAGGTTTGTGAATGGAACTAGAGTCTCTAGGTAAGACTTATCCTGGGGCCATCAATGAGTGCTGACTAGTTTGTGCTACCTACGCAAACGGATGATTGTCAGGGTTGGACTTCTTTTGCATGGTAAAATGAAAGATGGGTTTGGGATTTCCTGGTTTTCTTCTAAATAGAAAATTACTTAATTGGAGTGACTTGAATTCTACCTAAAGGTTGTGTTACTTCAAACTAGGGATGTGCTTACTTCATTCCCAGGGATGTAAAACTCCTTTGCTTCAGCATCTCTCCTGGTACGTTTGAGGGCAGTGAAATTAAAGTCAACTGCACAGATATCTATACAATGTACTCAGAAAGCAGACCTCTGAAAACTATGCAGTTAACTGTTTTCAGTGCTATAAACTTGATGTGCTAGTGTGTTTATGTAGCAAATAATACAACTAAATTTTCTTTGCTCTTGCACTGACTCCTCTACTATATGAAAAGCCTACCAGATCTCCAGTAGTAGGAAGAAATGTGCAGACAAATCCACTAGTAAAACTGAAGAGACAAATCACCTACAGACACAGATCCAGCCCTCAGTTTGCAGAGCTTCACAAACAGTGCATTTTATTCATCAGTGCTTTTGAATTTGTCTTAATGTAAAACTAAGTATTAGAACACCACACATGCTTGATTGTAAGCTCAGTGGTTCTTATCTAAAAGGTGCATGAAACATCAAAGTAGCAGTATACTACTTCTGCATTTGCAACATAGAAATTCAAAGAAATAATTAGTGTAAGATTGATTGAAATTGAGGGGGGGGTGTCATATTTTAAGGTAGGTAAGTCCATTTTGCTTGTTATCAGAAGATCATGTTTTTGGAAAGGAGCAGTAAGTATTTATTATTTCAACATTGCTTCATGTCTGCTACCAGTGTTTTCAGAGACTGGATAGCTTGATCCTGTCTGGCTGTATATTGTGCTTTACTGAAACCAACTGTTTCTGGCTACAGCTTTGATGTACTTGAGTGTGCACTTGCGGTTTGAAAGTGCCACGATCTTAATTACAAAAGGAGAGCAAATCTTTAAAAAGTCAAGAGTGATGCTGACTGCACTAATACCATGTTAGACTAGAAAGTGCCTTTAAAAAAAGGCAACAAACTGTGATTGGAGAACTCATTTCCTAATTTGGAGAAAATCTTTGGAATGAATATAGGGTTCTCCTAAATCTAATTGGTTTCAGTCAATTTGTAAAGACTGATTAGCTACCTGTAGTGTTTGGACAGCCTAATCTCTTGCTCAGTGCTGTAGACGGCTATTGTGCGTTGGTCAAACAACAGTAAAACTACCTTGATCAATGCTTGAGTTTGTGAAACACACAAATACTATCAGTTATTCATTGTTTCTTCAGAAGCCTTCACTGTTTTGAGTAAAGCCTGTGCATTAACATAATTTACAGCAAAATTGAAATAGCCTAGAAAAGAACAAAGATAGGAAGTGTTTTCTGTAGTTTTTTTCCTTCATGAAGAAACATGCAAATACAGGTAGCAAAGATTTAATGTGTTAGGAGGATGTTGTGTGAAGAGAAAACGAAGAACCTGGATGTTGAATTTGAATGTTACATGCATACCTTGTATCTAGCTTTGTATTTTAGAACAAATTATGTACTGGGGCTAAGGGACTGAGCAGTCCACCTCTCTTTTGACGCCCATCTGGCCTCAGCCTTTAGGGACCCCTTGGAGCCTGAAAGCTTCAGAGTTTTCAACAAGGCTTATTAAGGCCGCAGTTTCAGTTGTGCATTGAAGGTCTGTTTTTAAGAAAAATTTTTAATGCCTTGTTCTTTCATAATTTTGCAAATCTGCTGTAATTGTCAAATGAGGTGGTGCAGGATTTGCGTACCAGTACTTCATGGCACAGTTTGCAGCAGCGGTCCGATACCCTCCAAGTGAGCCTGTCGGCGGCAGAGCTCTTTGGATCAGTCGAGCCGGGAAGCCCCGTGCGTACGGATTAGTCGTCATCGTCCCAAGGCGAGCGGATCACCGAGTCCTCGTGTGCTTCTTGGTTTGTTCAAACCCTCTTCTCTCAGGCTGTCTCACTGTCGAAAGAATTCATACTTCAAAATGCAGTTGTGGCTTTGTTTGGGTTTTTTTTTTTTTCTTTTTTCCTCTGATGGAGCGTGCTTGCAAGGGCGGAGTGGTGGCGGTGACCTCGTGCTGCCTAAATAATGGTGTCAGCTCCAGGGCTTTTTTGCCCCCGCCGCTCTTGCCGCAAGCGTGCGTCCTGGGCCGAGCGCGGTTGTTGCGGGATCTCGTGTCCGGTTGCCAGAAGGCAGCATCGCTGGCTGGCCTGGTTATAAATTGATAGAAAGCAGAGAACTGCATCTCTTCAAAAGGACGGAGCCGCTA